GACCATTTGTGACATGCTATAACGAGCAAAAATTTAAAAAAAAACTAATAGGTAGGTTTAAAATTAATAAATACAAATGTATTCTGACAGTGAATGAGTTAATTATGCTTTCTATTTGCAAAATTCCTCAACCTTAACACAAAATAAAAAAAAAGTGAATTTTTAAGAAATTTGCGGGATTTCCCGGGATAAGAAAAATTTCCCGGGTTAAAAAAACAACCGGGATCCCGGAATCCCGTTTGAGAAACCCTACTACACACCACCATTACAAATTAATATCATTTTGAAAAATGACAAGGAAGAAATGTCGAACAATAACATTTGACAATAAACACTAATAAATTCTTTATATTAAAATGTTGTATCAATAGAAAATAAATATTTATTTTAATCTTACCTTTAAAATCTTGTATTCTTTTTCTGTTAAAGATAAGTCAGATATATATCCTGCAAGTGCATGACCACTGGCCTCCTCTAAACTCATTGTTTTACATTCTAATATTGTATATGTAAGCATAATTGCTACATCAAAGACTTTGGGTGCGATATGCAAATCACCAAAATCTAGTATTCCATATACTTCATATTCTTCGTTTCCTTCTTTTTCTCGAACCAAAATATTGTACTCGTTGAAATCGCCATGAATAATTCCTGCGAAATTAATAATTATAATTATGAAAGCAAAATTGATTCTATATTAATTATTTCATATAATTTCTGTTAATTCTTGTCCAGACTTCATTTAATTCACAGTCAGAAATTTTCCACAACTTGAATAGAACATTCCAACCCATTCTAGACGAGGATAAAGCATACAGATTACTCGGATCTAATTTGAAAGTGTAGGCACCAAGAGTAAGTGACTGGCTCAATCTGGCTAACATACAAATCTGAAAAATATAAAATTTTATTAGTCACTTTATTTTAGCATGAAAATTTGATTTACTTATTTGCATATTATTAATGTCAAAATAAATTGTATTCACTTTATGCTCCAAATGAAAATTACATAGCGAATTGCAAACTGATTTGAGGCTGTGAATGAAAATGTTGTTTTGTGGTAATAGAGATATTTATACATTTGATCTACATATAAAACATAAAATAATACAAATCTGAAAACAAAAAATCAAAAAGTGTGTTATAATAAGGAATAAAAATAGTCAATCAGTACAAAAAATCGAAAGTTAGTTTTGTTATTAAAAGTCAAAAATAATTCTCAACACTTTAATACTACAAAATCGGTCGCTATAATTCGCTCATATATTGTTGTTACTTGATAATCTTTCTTTTCATCGTTTTATAAGAATTTATTATTTTTGATTCACATACTCTTACTTGAATAACGTACATTTATCTCTAATGTTACAGCTAATTGTTAAATTTCTTTTAGAACTTTCATTTCGAAATGCAGGGCTTTTAATTTTATAATTATTTTTGCTTCGCACGGTAAATTATACGCAGTTTATATTTTCACAAATCAACTTTGAACAATGACTTGACTGGGATGTTCTGCTATCAACTTTTCAAACAATCCTGATAGTGAACAGCTTTCACTATGAAAAATAGCGAGGTTGAAGCTGAAGTTTTAAGCGCGAAAACGTGTACGTCGGACGTTCGGCGCCGCTTTCCTGTAAGCCTAGAAGTTTGACAATGGTGTTTGGAATGTCGAGTATGATTCCACTGACTATCCAAACATCATTGTCAAACTTCTAGGCTTACAGGAAAGCAGCGCCGAACGTCCGACGTACACGTTTTCGCGTTTAAAACTTCAGCTTCAACCTCGCTAATAAGTTTGATGAAGTTGTAGGTTGAGACGATTGAAGAGAATCCTCGTAATAAACGTTCTGACTCCGGTTCAAGTGTAGTCCCGAAATTTAGCAAGGCCATTGAGCCTGTCCAAGTCGTAAAGACCTTCCTTTCGAGGTTCAGCATAAAAAACAGACTCTGCGTGATATTAATTAATTTCAAGCGTTTGTTGTATTTAATGAGCAGAAAAGCGGCTTCAAAACAAATTAAAATGAACGAACTTTTTAACAAATCATGAAATCAATCATTAATTTTGTCATGTTACTAATTGTTGTTTTTTTTAAAAGTTTGTAGTATTGCACTGAAGAGGAGCTTAGCATTTAAATAAGCCCGGAATGCATATGAGAAAACAATAAAAGAAGTGTCTAACCTAAAAGCTGTAATGATAGTCTACCGAATTTAATAGACATTCGGATTAAAGGGACATACATTCATAAATTTATATCACTTATCTAGTTTCCTAAATCTCAAATCTAGGCGAAAACAAAAAGAAATAGATTTAAATGAGAAAAATAGATGCTAAAGTCAAAGTACTGTTCAACAAGTGCTATAGACGTCGATGTTTTGATTTAAAGTAAAGTCGCGGCCGATAGTACCCGTCGTTGCCACCAAGAGCGGTAACGGCCACTCTATGTAGTATATTCTAGCTCGTTGATTCTATCCAACAACTTAAACAATCAGAAACGTCTTTTTTTTCTATGTTGCCACCAAGGCATCTCTTTGGTGGTGGTACCACCTTGTAGTGATATCGGACCTTCTCGTCCTCCCTCTCCGGGGGTTTCGTCGGGGCAGATGCGATCTATCCATCGACACAGGCTAACAAGGGGTCGTTAAGACCGGGGAAGAAAACGCGGAAAGAAGGAATTTTTGGGAGAGGAATTCGGGACACGAGAGGGAGAGGGAGTGCAAGTAGTGGTCTCTGAGACGAAATAAAGTTTTTTTTTGTGGAAATATTGGACTAGCTGGTTAATTGGTGAGACGAACCGACGGGGAGGAATCCGCTGATCACGAACGGGTTCCCTACATTGGCGCAGCCGACAGGATAGTGAAGTCAGATCGACAGGATTCGATCTGTGAAGAGAGTGATTATGAGCCAGAATAAGAAGAGTGGATCGGAACCGAGCGGAGTGGGTAATTGGGCACAGCACTAAGGTTTCAGGAATATACAAGGTTTACACCAGAGAAGAGGTAGGAAAATTTTGTACTTGTCGGAAACGAAATTCACGGCGGGATGCTAAGCATAAAGGGAGTTAAGAAGGAAGATCTACGGATCGTGGCGGAAGAGCTTTGTGGCACAATAGACGATAATCTGAGGGTATCGGAGTTAAGGGAACTTATTACGAAAAGTGATGATTTTGCTTGTGACCCAGATTTTGTACTGGAGATTTTGACTTCCACTGTTGAGGAAAGGAAACGGAAGGAGGAACAAGAGAGCCTAAAAAGGGAACAAGAGAGGCTAGAAAGGGAACGCCAGCACGAGTTAGAGCTGGCGCGGATTAGCGCTACTATTCAAAGCAGGGCGAGTAACGGTAGTCCCAGCTTTACGGACAGCCATCCGGGTGATGGGCCCGCCGGGAGTATTGAGAAATTGATTACGAGCGTGAAAACGTTAACATTGCCAGTCCCAACTAAGTCCGAAAATTGGAACCTATTTTTCGTATCTATAGAGCGAGCGTCCCAATCGAAGAATGTGCCGGAAGAGATGAAATCTGAGATACTGATCAATATTCTGGGAGAAAAGACCGCAAACATTTTGATTTATATAACCGGAGACGAGTTAACGGATTACTCAAGCGTGAAGAAATTAGTGTTACGAGAATACGAACCGTCCGCCCAATGCTGCCTGGAAAATTTTTGGAGTGCTAGGCGTAGGCCCGACGAGACTCACATGCAATTTATGTCGAGAATAGCGTCGTCTTCGGAATACTATTGCGAGTTGAGGAGAGTGAAGGACTTGGAAAGTTTAAAACGATTAATCGTGGCGGACAGATTATTTCAGACGTTGGATGTCGACACGGCGGCCCATATAAGCGTTCGTCAGGGCGAGGGGTGGTTTAACCCTATTAACATGGCGAGAGAGTGCGACCTATATTTTGAAAGCAAGGGAAAATCTATAACCGAGACGTACAACGAGTCGTGAGGATCGCGGTGTCTTCCAGAGTGCCAGGGTACTGGCCGGGAGTGCGATCCCCCACCACTGAGGGATGAGGGACAGAAAGACACACTCAACTATCGTCAGGAAATGAAATGGGGGGAGTGCTTCATCTGTGGATCAACGCAACATATTTCTAGATCCTGCCCGCAGAAGATAAGGGATACATCCATAAACGATAGTCGCACTCAACCCTCGACCGGTCGGAGACGGAACGACGTTGCGTTAGTGGGGAGTGTGAGGTCGGAACACTTTGACAAAAAAACTAGCAGCCATTTGAAGTCAGGCCCTAGTATTCAATGTTTACAATACGTTACGGTCAACATAGGTGGGCAAGATACCGAAGCCATCGTAGATTCAGGCACCCAAGTCCCAGTCTTGCGCCCCGAAGATGTTACCAGCTCGAATGACGGGGACTGGGGAACAATAATTTTGAGCCCAGCGTTTGGGGAAGAGATTAAGGCACAGACAGTAAAGGTCCCTATGGCTATTAAAGACCGTTGCAGCCAAACTTTATTATCCCCCGTAGAAGTCACGGTGGCACTGACCGAGAAATTGAAGGGCCCTCGTCTCTTGCCGCCTGGTATTTTCAAAGTGTTGGAAGGACAAGCTGGCGTGTACAGACTTCCTCACCTTCGTAATCGTGGGAGTGGAACAGCTGGTCGTGAACCAACTGATTGGGACCGAAACCGGTACTCGGATACGAGTGATCGATATGTGGGTCTTCACGATAAAGCATTGTTTCAGAGGACCGATAGTCATAATAGAAGCTATCCGAGCAGAAAAGGTTCTGGTGGTCGGAAATACAGTGACCACAAAGATTCTGGAAATATAAACAATTGGGAAAGCAATCATAAGCGAGGAGAAGCAGATTTCTCTAATTTTAGAAAAGGAAATCCAAAAGTTTCCCTGGTACACGTCATACATGACAGACAGCGAACGCGATCATAACTGGCGAGGTCCCCATGCTCCAAAAGATGCTCCAAGGAACCGCTGGCGCGACGGCATTCACGGAAGTAAAAGTGTCTGGAATCATCGGAAGGGTAGTAGACGTTCCGAGTACGACGACAATCGGAACAGGCAAGATGAACAAAAGACCAATAATCGAAGTAAATATTTAGAAGGTGGAAGTAGGAGGTACGGCTCCAGCGGCCTCCGATCTCGTGGTTATCGTCTGTTCGGCCGTGATCGAGGCTACACAGATCACATCGCAGTATCAAATAAATACTCATCTCCTGCTGTTGGTTACGGAAGAAACAACTATGATGTTCAGCATAAAGGAGACTATGGTGGGGTAACTGAGAACTCTCGTAACGTGTTGGCGACAAAGGCAGCAGTGGACCCATTTTGGAGGAATTTATGATACTTCCGATTCAACAGCGTATTTGTGGTGTTAAAAGTGACGTTTGTTTCGATATGTTTCGTAGTGATGAGAACTATCAATATAATTTGTGTAAAAGGAAAATTGTGTATCGTCTGTATGAACTTTTTGTATTGTATAAGTTTTATTGTAGCCTTTACTTTTTGAAAATTGTAGTTGAGACCCGTGTTCGGGTTCACACCCTAACACTTGTCTTGCGGCGGGGGTGTAGTGATATCGGACCTTCTCGTCCTCCCTCTCCGAGGGGTTTCGTCGGGGCAGATGCGATCTATCCATCGACACAGGCTAACGAGGGGTCGTTAAGACCGGGGAAGAAAACGCGGGAAGAAGGAATTTTTGGGAGAGGAATTCGGGACACGAGAGGGAGAGGGAGTGCGAAGTAGTGGTCCCTGAGACGAAATAAAGATTTTTTTTTTTGTGGAAATATTGGACTAGCTGGTTAATTGGTGAGACGAATCGACGGGGAGGAATCCGCTGATCACGAACGGGTTCCCTACACACTAGGGTTTCTCATTTCCCGGTCTTTTGCTTGTCCCGGGATCCCGGGATAAAAGTGAACTGTTTCCCGGGATCCCGGGAAATCCCGGGATAGAATTAATTATTTTTAAGGTATACAAAATATCT